TTGAGCCTTCAAATCCCCACGGAGCACGGCAGTCAGCAGGTGGGAAGACATGGTGATTGCCCGTGTCACTTCCATTTTGTATACATTCTGGGTTTGTGTAGGCCGTATTCCAACTGGCTTTTTAGTAATAGAAATTCAGTATATAAATGTATCAGATACAATTGAGGTTCTAATCTAGTCTGTTAATTTACCTGAAGTTGGATTTTTTAAAAGTAATAAAAAATTAAATGTACTTTCCTTGGATGCTTGCTTTCTTTCCATTCTGAAACAGGTGAACCAAAGTTTGAAGGTTAAGATAACTTGTTTCCAGCCTGCCTGCCAAGAGATGAGTCATAGAATTCATCCCACAGTTAGGTAACTCGGTTCAGAAGTTGTCTGGGGTCAGATAATGAATGAGTTCATGTTGAACCGCCCACACACTTTGCGGGACAACACAGGCATTCTACAAGAATGCAGACAGAGAACATGGAAGTAGTCGGCAGGCCAGAAGCTTGAGGTCTAACATCCACACCTGCCCCCACTTGTGTTTTCAAGACAAAACAAAACAAAATAAAACTGGAAAGTGGAAGGAATGGTATAGTGAACAAGATTTCTTTTGAAAACAGTTTTATCTTTTTACCGTTCTTGGTTGGTAAGCTTTGAACCTCTTTCAGCACCCTTCTTTCTCCCTTATGCCTGTCAGTCCTGTGATTGACAAGGCCTTGGCTTTGTCTAGAATGTGTTGCTTTTTCCTGGAAAATTTACATGCGTCCCCTCAGTAGGTAGGACACTGAGGCAGCTAAAGGGGCTCTCTGAATCTTGAAGTTGCAAAGCTGGTACCTGGTGGTCCTCATTGTTGTCATTATAAAATGAAGATGTCACCTCTCCAGCCTGCAGAGCAGCGACATACCTAAGAAGAGGGGACTGATGGCTATGCGTTGGTAAAGTCTGGTTAATTTCTCGAGTCCTCTTCGTGCTTTTTGGCTTCCTCACCACTTTTAACTAGTTTTAAGACCCTTATTCACCTCTTTGGTTCTTTAAGCAGTTCCCTTGCTCAACACCTATACATGGGAATTCCTGTTGCCATATAGTTTGGTTAGTGCGGATTTGACTGACTTTTGTATTTTCTTGCCTGAACTCTTTGTCTGGTTGGAAAACCAGATATAGATTCTACGCCATAGAAGGAAGCCTGTTGTTACATACACTACTTCTTGACCTCGGAGTAAAGTGAACTACTCAGCATGATTTATAACGAACAGGCCTATATTCAGTCAGATGGGGTTTATAAATTAAATACTTGTCTTAAATGATTTTCACAGTTTGCTAAATGTGAATAGGGCTTTCAAGTTTAAGAAAAAGACTTGCAGGAACATTTTAACTGGCTGGTTTTTGTTAACTTAAAATGATTCAGTCTAAGTCATTATCACTACAGGGCTAATCATGAGGTTTAGAGAGGAGAACCTACAGAGATGCAGGTGATTCAAGTTGGGGGTTAGTTTAGTTAGGTGATGTGGGATTCTCCTCTGTATGCTGTGAGTATGTTTTATTACCATTGGTTAATAAAGAAGCTTCTTTGGCCTATGGCAGGATAGAATATAGGTAGTCTGGGAAACTAATCTGAATGCAAGGAAAGAAGGCAGAATCAGGGAGATGCCATGTAACTGCTGAAGGAGAAAGATGGCCAGAATCTTAATGGTAAGCCACAGCCTCATTACAATATGCAGCTTAATAGAAATGGGTTAATATAAGCTGTAAGAGCTGGCTAGGAATATGCCTGAGACATTGACCAGTATTGTAATATAGTTTTTGTGTGATTATTCAGGTCTGGATGGCTAGGAAGCCAAAACACAGTCTCCAGTTACATTAGGTCAACTGAAGTTAGCTTCAGTAGGGAAGATCTGAAAAGTTTAAGCACCTTTGATGTGACTGTAATAGATGCTGGCACAAGGATGCAGATCTGTGGCCATCCAATTGTTCTAAGAAGAGACATGAAATTAGGAAGAGGCAAGACCCTGTTAGGGTGATTGTAGATTTTGAAGGCAACAGGAGTAGAACTTGGGAGGTGGTAAGAATTCAGGCTGTATGATGGGTATAGAAAGATTTGAAGGTGGCCTAGGATGCCACCTTGAATAAGGTAGTTTTAAAGACATGACAATCGTAAGAGTCATTTAGCTTCAAAGAACTCAGTACATCACCCCAATGGTGTAAAGGAAGGGATGAGCCAGAAGAGTACCTGTGTTGTTCTGAGGTTCACTGCCTATGCTGAAGGTAAAGATGGAAATGAGTAAAGGAGGCTGGAATTAGAGCTGAAGGGGTTTGAGCAGCTGTAAAATAATTTGATGCATTTGGAAGAAGGGGTGTAGATGTGACAAGCTGGGCAGGACAGGAGGAAAAAAGACTACATAGAGGCTTTCCTCTAGACCACAGGTACTGAAATGATGTAAACATGGAAAGTAGAACTGAGTTGAGCAGTTCTAGGTTATAACACCTGTTCTAAATTGACCTCCACTTTTCCTATAAGATTTAGATTTTTATTTGCATGTACAAGTGTTGTGCCTGCATGCATGCCTGCGCACCACTTAAGTGCCTGGAAGAAGCTGAAAGAGACTGGAGTTACAGATGACAGTGAGCCACCACATAGGGACAGGGCATTAAATCAAAGTCCTCTTTAAAACCAACCAGTGCTCTTAACTGATGGACCATCTCTCCAACACTGGATTCAGATTTTTAAATATGCTTTTAAGTTTATTTGAGCAGAACAAGATGGTACAGGCCTATCCATCACTTAGAAACTGACACAGGAGGATTACCACAAGTTTGAGGCCACCTTGGGTTAAATAGCAATAGCCTGTCTCAAAAGAAAAAGAGAAAATTGAGTGTGATGACGGATGTCTTTAATCCCAGCACTTGAGAGGCAGAGGCAGAAAGATCTCTGTGCATTTAAGGCTAGCCCAGTCTATATAGTGAGTTTCTGGGCTGGCCTCGGAAACCCTGATATATATATAGAGAGAGACCCTGTCTCAAAAAAAAAAAAAAAAAGGAAGAAAAAATAATTCCAAATTAACTTGCTATGAAGTAAACTACCATGTGTAATTAAGAGCTGTAGAGTGATGAGAATTGTGGCAACATTCCTCTTCAGTTGTTCCCATCTGACCTTACAGTGCTGACTAACCTGTGCACTAGGATCACGGGTCTTCAAAATATTTGGCTAAAAGGTATTTATTGATGAAGAGATGGCAGCTAACCCACCAGGTGGTAATGAAAGGCAGTAAAAGCTCCAACTTCTGTGCTTGCCAAAGACCAGCCTCTAATGTCTGTTTTCCAAATTCTCTCTTAATGAGGAAGCCAACTGGCTGTTTTCATAGGGCCATCTGGAAGCCTGGAAGTGTCACAGAAGTTTGTTAGCCCTTTAGATGTCGACTTTGTGGACTTGTCTGCTGACAGGTGGCGACCTTCACTGGGGTGCATATAGCAAACCATGGCGTTGGGTTTGACTCCTTCCAGCAGTCAGGCAGAAATGCCATTCAGCCTCCTACACCTATGGTCTGTTTTAGTGACCACTTGGCCTTTCTTGCCATTTGGTGCCAGCTGTTCCCCTCAAGTCCCCTGCTCTAACCTGCCAGGTCCTAACATCTTTCTTAACCTGGCTGTGATCTCATTTGATGACCTGGCTGTAACTTTTGTGATCTCATTTGATGACAGCTTTAGGCAGTGTCAGCCCTGCTTTTCTTTGTTGAGAACCAGGACAAAATAAAATACTCCATGTAGCATCTTTCGGGTTGCTAACTGCTACCTTTTCTGGCTTGAATTGTTATTCTACTTAATGGATGTGACGGCAGATCATAATGGGAGAAATTTGGAGCCCAGATTTGGACCTGTTAACTGCTATGTCATTTAGCAGGTATGAAGCCACGTGGTAACAAACCCCCCAAAGAAACTCAGTCTCTCTCCTTGCAGTTAAGATATACATACATACATACATACATACATAAATACATAAATACATAAATCTGTATGTGATGCACTTACAAATCTGCACGGCATGTCGATGTGCTATGTTGCTTGAATAGGGCAATTTACTTGTATAAAAGGATCTTTGAAAATCCTTGCAGTAATAGTAGATGTCAACATGGATCAGTTCTGACAATTTTTACATTGAAGGTACATCACAGAAGTGAGTTTCAAATAGTGTCTGATTATCCCCCTAAATAGTTTGTGCACGTGTTTTTTACTGACAGAAAAATAACCAGATTTAAAGAATCGCTCATTTTTATTTTATTATTTTATTATTTGATTGGTATGTCTGTAACTTTAAATAATAGGGATGTTCGTTTGTGGGTCTTTGACTACCAAAAGCACCCGGCACTGGGACTGTTTTACTGAAGTATCATCCAAAGTAACATCTTCCACATCTTCCTTATGTCACCAGCAACAACTTTGGGTTTGGTGGGTGCTGCAGCATGCACCTGTGCAGGCGGGACGGGGCTGTTGAGAGAGTAGAGAGAATTCTATTTCGCCTTGCAGAGAAGCCATTGTCCAAAAGCCCGCAGTTGGCAGCGAGGTGGACTGGACAGCTCACACTAGGCTGCTGATCCCCCTGTGTCCCGCCATGCGTGTATCCAGGAGTTGTGAAATAAATTTGTAGAATAAGATAAGGCATGAACCCAGCTTGGTCTTGAGGAGCAGTACTGTACTGTGTCAGTACAAGGGTACATTCGACCAGGTAGGTGCGTCCCAGGGGCTCCAGCACTTGCCTGTCCATCAGCATCTTCGCTTTGCTTGGGTTCCTCCGAAGTTACGGAGGTGCAGGGGAGAGGAGGAGCCTCGCCTAGGGCGCCTAAGTGATTGGCTGTCCGGGGCCCTTGGAGAGGGCGTGTGGTCCAGCCATGGTAGAGAGGGGCGGAGCGGCCACTGTTCCTACTACCGCCGCCACCAACACAGTCGCAGCCACCGCAGCCTCGGCCACTGGGCAAGTCGTGTTGAGCAGCGGCTTTCTAGGTCGGGAACGCCTTACTGGTCTTGCTCCGTACCCCACCGGTGCCTGGCAGCCAAGCAGGGACCATCACATCCGACCCTGTGCATGGTGTTTCGCTGGATCTGAGCTTTTAGTACACGTTAAGTCCCTCGGGTCCCACAGACCCTTACCATTATGCCCCAGGCGACTGCGCTTGGCACCCTGGTGCTATTGCTTCTGCCACTGCTGATGCTGCTCCCCTGCGGTACTGGGGTGCTTGGGGTCAACTCGGATGTCGCCTTGGACTCCTGGGCTTTGGAAGATGAGGAGGGCACGGAGCAACAGCTGCATTACCACGACCCCTGCAAAGCGGGTAGGTACCACTGCTGTCGGGCAGAAGTTTTCCTTTGAAATGCAAATGAACGGTGGGCAAGGCGGACCACTCTGCTCCTGGGAGATGCCCGGGTTCCCGGGAGAGGGAGGACAATGTCCACAGGGAACCTGGTCCCGCTTAGCAGGACACATCGGGTGGCTGCTGCAGGAGTGGTCCCAGAGTGAAAGGCTGTGTGGGGCACGGTGGGTTCTGGTTGCCTGTCAGCCACTCGGCACCCGCTACCTCCAGACACAGCAGGAGTCGAGCCTGGCTAGGCATCGCGCTCCCAGCTCCGACGGAGTAGCTGATTTCTTTGGAGTTCACAGCAGTTGGAAGTTTCCCGCGAAGTTTCCCAAGGTCTGTAGTTACTCTTGGAAAGAGATTAGAAGACAGACAGAAAAGCTTCACGGGAGGCAGAAGGAAGAGTTGCCTAGGGAGAACGCTCACCTCACGACTTAAATTGCTCCATCCTTTCCCGCAATCCCCTCAACACCCAACTGAGATGGAAGTCAGCAGGTGCTCTTAATTCCACCAGGAAGCTGCGCCCTAGAACAGCACCGGGCACACCGGCCTTGTTAGCCAAACCCGCCCCAGCTCTACAGTTCCAGCTACCAACCCTCTTGGTTCATCGGGGATGTGTGGTGAGGGGTAGAAGGGAATGACGAAGCACCCTAGAAAAGATTCCTTAAGTGTCCCTTCGGGAAGGATCCAAGCTCATTCAAAGTCAGGAACTGGACGGTGCAATTCCCAGCCCCGGGTGGTGCTGGATTTAGATTACCTTGAGGCTGCTCCGGGGTGGTGGCCAGGAGCCCGGGAGTAGTGCTTTCCTTTGGCCACTGCCCCACCTGTCTCACTTGCCAGTGAGCAAAGATAAAGGATAGGAGACAAGAGAAGCCTTGAGGATACTCAGGAGACCAGAGTGCTTCCTGTGGGTACAGTGACCCGCCAGGTCTAGGCCAGTTCCCCATTCCCTCTCGTCATGGAGATCTCTGCCAGTCTTGGTTTTCTCATTTCTAAGTCGGAAGATAAATAGGAGGCTTGTGGGGTTTTTTTTTTGCCTGTTGAACCAATGGGGTGGTTGTCCTTATTTTTATTGTTACTGTGGTACCTCTAGTGTGTAGACTGGAGTAGCTTCACACGCCTGTCATCTGGGGAAGATAAGGTTCCTACGAGAGCCTCAGAAGTTCATGAGACCAGAGGATCCTATGCAGACTGAAGGTCAAACTGGGTGTGGGGGACCCGGTCTTACCACAGGGAAGACCCCTGAAGGATTTCTACCTATTGCCTACATAAAAGCTTCAGTTGGGAAGTAACCGGAAAGGGTGGTTTCCAGATTAAGTGAAGGCACACCACCATGACCTGACTGTGACATCCAGCTCTTTGTGGGCCCATGCTCGTGGCCAGGACGATCTCCTGAGCACTGTTAGAATGGTGTCTTGGTTCTAAAAAGGGAGCACTTAGTCTTGAAAATAAGATGGGAGTGGGCAGGACCAATGGTCTCACTTGCCAGTTCCTGGACCCTGCCCGAGTAGAGCTGCCTCTGAGGTGGTAGGACAACTGGAGCCATCAGGGAGATTAGTTTGAGGATTAGGCTGGGTGCCTCCTGTACTTAGGATGCTAGCCTAGATGCTGCAGATCCAGAGCGAAAGGTACAGATCTGACCCAGAGCTCCTACCTGGTCTGAGCCTCCAAGGACAACCCCGAGGAAAATTTGTCATGGGTTGTCCAGCGGTTTTAGAGAAAATGCTGGGTAACAATGACATGAACGCTCTGAGTATTCATAGATAGGATGGGGTAGGCAGGCAAGGCTGGAAAGTAGAGAAGCCTCACTGTGGTTCACTGACTTTAATGCATCATCTGGGCCCCACCCTTACTCCAGCCCCACCCCTACTCCGGGCCCCACCCCTTCCCAGGTCCCCACCTCAGCCTCTCACTGAACTAACCTGATGCTAAGAGCAGCCAAAGGAGAGGGATGGCAAGAGAGACCTGCAGCAAGAAAGCAACACAGTCCGCCCATCCTCCTGGGAATTCTCTCATCTAGAGAGCACCCAATGGAAGGTCAAAAATGGGATGGTCCAAGTCTCAGTGGAGTAACAGCTTCCCCACTAGGGGGAACCGCACTTCCTGGCAGCATGTTTAGAGCTTCCCTTCAGAAGCAGCCCCTGTCCCAGAGAAACCCCAACCAGGAAGCTCTGGAAGAAGGCCCACCCACTCCTGGCCCTGCTTCCTTCCCCACCTGTACCTTCCCTGGTCTGGGTCTCCATTCCACTGTGCATCTGTAATGCAGAGGGGACAGTCCTGGTTCTGTTCCCCACCCATCAGTGGACAAGGTCTGTCCCCCCTGGTCCTCAGCTTCTTCCCTGTAGAGTGGACATATTGAATTTGTTAGGCTGCAAACCGACAGATCTGGGGAGCTTCTCTATTTTTAAACATTTAAAAAAATTACAGTTTTCTTCATTTATGCTGTGTTCGGGTGGGGCCGCTCTGGAATGTCACGGCATGTGTGTGGCAATCAGAGGATAACTTTCGGAAGCTGGTTCTCTCCTTCTCCTGGGTGGTCCTGGATCAAACTCGGGAGCTTGGGCTTGGCTTACCCTTTATGCCATCTTGCTATCCAAGAAACTTGATCTACATAACCTGTCTTACCCTGAACCCACATGACACCATGCAGGCAACTTGTGCTTGAGTCCCGTGCCTCCTCCCTGTTCAGTGTTCTGTGTTTGTGTGAAGTAGTAAGTGCCGCGACCATTTTCCATGTCGTATTTACCGTACCATCATGTCCTGTGTGCCCTTTCCACCGCTTTACCCTTAGTGGCCTCTGCCTGCTTTGCCAAGTGCAGGCTACACGACCTGGGGCAAGTCCTTGCTCTCCGGCTGTCTTTATATCCTCCTTTGTGGATAGGAATAATTTCTGACAGATTAAAGTACTTAGAACGATAGATATGTCAATCACTGGGTACTTTATAAACAGACTTTCTAGAAATGTGTTGAAAGAACATCTTCATCCCTGAAGCTTTTGATGCCATTTTAAATTGTCAATTCTAAATTTACCAACAGTGGATGCTGCAGAGAGGGTGGTTGCTAAGTCAGATGATGGGGGAGTGGGAACCCTCCTGGCATGCAGCTGGGGAGCCATGGGCTTCTGGGACACAGGGTCTGCTGGTTCATAGCTCTGTTACTGACCTTTCCTTGGGTGCTGCCCACAAAGCCAGGCACTACATAAGAAACCACAGACAGTCTCAGCATCTCCACGCTGGCACGACTCATCTTGTCTGCCTGCCTTCATTTGCGCTTCCTCAGCCGAGTCAAGCCAGGAGCCTGGCTCCTCATTCCACCCCTGCCCCTGCTGTCTGTGTGGCTGTGAACCATGCTGTCATTTCCTGTGTGTCACTCTCCTTATCTGTGAAATGGAGGTGGAAGCCAAATCTTTTACCTTGCAATGTAACCAGGAACCAGTCTTAGCTGGCTTCTTTAGGAAGCAGAGCCACAAACAAGGACCTACCTGTGTGTAGACATTTGGAGAGTGGGAAAGAGCGGGACACATGAGACAGGAAAGGAGGCATTCAGTGAGGGGAGTGGGATTTAGACGGCTGCTCTGGGCCACCTTGGGACCCTCCAGGACCTCTTAGAAACTTCCAGGTACATCCTAGAACTGTCCACCTGGAGAATGGAAGACTGAAGTCTATCCAAAGGCTGTAGCCTTTGTCCTTTACTTCTGTTCCCTGCTCTATGATTGGGGAAGAACCCACCCCCTATTAGATGTAGAACAACCTCACTGCCATGTTATTAGGTTCCTGCTTTGGTGGATTAGGAATAGATAGGGTGGTGTGTGTGTGTGTGTGTGTGTGTGTGTGTGTGTGTGTGTGTGTGTGTTAAAAAGGTTTGCAAGATAGACCACAAGGGGCTAGAGTCCACCTGATGGTTCACCCTTGTGCCTGTTCATTGGATTGGTGAGTAGAGATTCTTGGGTTGCCTTCCCATGTGGCCGGGTGGTAGGCTCCTTCACGGCACAGCCGCTGGATGCTAGATGGGTCTGAGAGAACCTAATGGAGGTTTCAGTGTCTTTGATGGCCACCTCACATCCTCACATCCACCACAATGACAAGCTTCCATGCCTCTAGGGACAGGAACATGACTCCTTTTACTAGTGGTGGCATGTGCCTTTAGTCCCAACACTTGGGAGGCAGAGGTAGGTGGATCTCTGAGCGTTTGAGGCCAGCCTAGTCTACAAAGCAAGTTCTAGGACAGCTAGGGCTGTTCCACAGAAAAATCCTGTCTCAAAAACGAAACAAAACAAAACAAAACACCAGGTGGAGTTAAAGAGACTGTTGGAGCCAGTTTTGGAAAAATGACCTGCTACACTTTTGAGGCATTAACTGGGTTCTCTAGATTTAGGAATGGTTCTAAAGTAGAAAAGTGGGGAGAGAGGCAGTGGATGCATGCAGCTTCCCAGAGTTGATTGGAGAGTATGGACGTGGGTCACCAAAACTGTCCACAGGAGACTTGGGTGAAGCAGAGGTTCTTGGACAGCCTTTGAACTTATTAAATCCAAGGGAACTGGCTGCCCGCCTGCTTACTCTTTAGCTGGTGGCTTGACAAATGCCAAAGGCATCCAGCAGCTGTGAACCTGGATTCAAATATGATATGCGGAGCTGCTGGCCCCTGATGGCTTAAGGCTCAGGAGCCAGAGTGAGCGTTACGGTGGGGCAAACGGTTCATGACTCAGTTTGGAGTATCCCCAGCCCCTGCCCGTAATTTCACATCTCACCTCTGTCTGAAATTTGGGTTTTCACTCTACTTTGACATTTGCTTCAAGATACCTTACCAGAGAGGTCTTTTTGAAGGTTCACCAAGAGACCTTCTGGGCAGCTGCTGTCAGCAGCCCTTCCAGGTCCTGATGTGAGGCCAGAATATTCAACTCCATGAGGTCTGGGGTTCAGTCTCTGTACCTGGTACTCAGGGCAGCATCCAGAATTTACTGTGGTGTTTGTCAGTATCTG